TCTGCCTATGTCCAACTGAGAATTTGCACTCTGCTGCATGTTTGCTTAAAGTCCTCTCTGCAGGTGCCCATCTGTGTCATCACCGTGAGCCTGGTGGGTGGGTTTGAAAGGAAAAGCGAATACACCCTGACTCTCCGTGCAGGTCTTTTCTCATCAACCCATCTAAAAGAAAGGAAAGGAGATGCAGCATCGATAGATTGCAGGCTCTTACACTTGTTCTGTTTCATCAGAAACAGACTGGCCTTTGTTTTTTCTGTAGTGGTAGTCTTCACAGTCGCCAAGAATAAAAATCAAGAAATACAATGGAGAAAGAAAATACCCCAAACCACATTTGGGTATACACAACATGGTTCGGTAAAAATAAACACATAAAATGGATCAAGCAGAAGCAGAATTAAACTGCAGATAAAATAACAGAGCAGGGAGGCAATTCCCATACCACCTCCCACTGAACGCCTGTATAAACAAGACAGATTGACATTGGCGCCAGAAGGAAAGGAGAGTAGGCACCCGTCTAATGTTTCTGAGGAGGCATTCAACTCGGGTCAGAGCCAGGCTCTAGTGGGTGGCTAGCTAGGGACTCCTTGGCGCCTCTCTGGAACCCATCATACCTTCTGGTCCTGCCACTACAAACTTCCCCTTAGACATGCTGAGCTGGCAGGTGTTGGTCCTTGACAGCTAAGCCCTCTTTGCTTCTGGAACATAAGAAGCAACCTTACATTAAGTCACATCCTTGGTCCATCTACTCCAGTAGTGTCAACACAGGTTGTCAGCCTCTTTCCAAGGTTTCAGGCAAGATTCTATCCTTGCCCTATCCGGAGATTCCTAGTATTCTCTGATCCAAGTGCAAACCAGGCCCAATCTCATGTAATTTCTGAAAGCAAATGGCACCCCTCTATTCATGGTGGTATTGTTTTATAAAATCTGATCTGCAGCAGATTTTTGCCCAGATTTCAGATTTAGACAGATTATGGAATAGCAGCCTCTCGGATATCTCTGTTTCCCTCAAAGTCAGTGTCCACCAGAGTGCACTGAAGTGCCCATTGTACTTCAGAGTTGAGTGGCAGCTTGGCTATGGTCCCAAAGTATTGGCCTTCAAATATGCACATCTGAAAGGAGAGATGGAGTGACTGACATGGCAACAACATCCCATGTGGAGTGCAGGTGCCTGAGGGCTGGTTGAGGGATCTAAAGCTACCCTGGGGGGGCAAGAAGCATCATCTCCCATCTACTCCACCCTGAGGCTCCTTCCCTTCTTTCTTTGACAGGCAAGGTAAACCACAAAGCTCCCACATCCTTCCCTTTCTTGGGCATTTGTACCAAACTGTATTGTTGTCTGGTAGGACAGAAGATGGGCCTGTGACCATGGTGTCTTCTTCATTGTGGAGATGCCACAATGGAGCTAACATGGAAATAGGACCAGCACAAGTTGTGAGAAGACTTGGGCCACATTCATGGAGAGCACCCCTGAGAGATGATGGCACTGGGAGATGTTGCTGTCTATTTCCCTGGCACTCTCTGGCCAATTCACTCTAAATCTGGTGTCCTCGCAAATTTGGCACCCCGGGACAAAACCGCAGTGGCCCTGCCCAAGTTATAGCTTTGGGAAGACCTAATGGAAACTAGGGATCAGCCACAGGAGTCACTGCTCAGGTGTGAGACCCTTTTAGCTGCTCCTGTATGCTGGGACCAGACTTTCATTGCACAATAGAAAGGGCCCTCTCTCTGACAGATGCTGAGAGCTTAGAAAAGTTATTTCTGTAGGACTCTCTCTCTCAGAAGCTTCCATTAGCTTAGGTATGCTGGCTGAGAGATTCTGGGAGAGGGCAGCCAAAAATTAACTTTTCCATGTCTCACCTGCCTCAGTGGAAAAGGCTGAGGCACACAAAAGGGCCTCAGTCCTGCAAAAGCAGTCTAAGCTAAGAGACAGGTTTTCACAGAAATGCTTCCAAACCTTGGGTCTCCAGGGGTTCTTGGACTACAACTCCCAGAAATCCTGGCCAGCACAACTAGTAGTGACAGCTTCTGGGAGTTTTAGTCCAAGAACACCTGGGAACCCAAGGTTGGGAACCATTGTTTAGATTATATAGTTTGACATGTCAGCGACAACACCAGCATGTTTTATTTTTCTCAGAGACAAACTGGGGCTTCTGAAGATATTTAATCCATGGAAAAATAACTTTGGATCCTAGTTTACAATTTGCCTGCTGTATCAGTCACACTAACAGCAAACTTAGTTCTCTAAAAGCCAGTCCTTAAAGCAAACCGCCCAGAGAGTGCTTGAAGTGCTATGGGGCGGTATATAAGCAGCACGCTTTGCTTTTTTTTCTCTCTCTCTAAAAGCCAGTCCTTAAAGACTTGGAAGCAGCAGCACCTGTAGCACAAGAGGGAGGCATCAGCAGATTGGTGGAAGCAACAAGATTTGAAAAGAAACAATAATTTTTTGAAGGAAAAGAAAAGACAGTGACAGAGGACCAGATAATAGCAAGGTTCAATGGCAATGGACTGAGTTGCCTGATGTGGAGAATGAAAAACTGGTGAAAAGAGGAACAGACTAGAGTACCCTGGAAGAAGAATGGCTGATCTGATGACTCTCCACATTGAAGGATCTGAACCCTCCACCACACTCCATCCACCTCACAAGATTTCATTGCTGGTCCCACTTGTTCTGAACTCCTGGAAGTTTCTGAACAGTGTACATTTACTATAACCCAGTTGGCATTCACAAGATAGCTGTGAGAGTTTTCTGTGGCATGCATTGGTACTGCACATACATTTCAGAGGAATACTGT